GGCTGCCCTCAGTGTATCCTCGAATTTGCCAGCTTATTTTTTCCAATAAAAGCTATTTTTATGTTAAATTTATTTTTTTATTTTAAAAGTTAAGTATTACTATATGTACTTGAAAAAAATATATAGATATATATATTTTTTTCTAGCCAAGCCATCCTGCCACCTGTTGGCAGCTCAGCAGCAGCTCAGCTCAGGCCGGGACTTGAACTGCTGTTGCTCAGAGCTCACACTCTTGAGTGAGCTCTTAACCAACTGAGCCACTTGGCTGGCCCAAAAATATATTTTATAAATATGTAGTGGTACTTATTTAAAATAAGCAAATAGTGGGACAATGAATGATAAGACATTGCTCAAATCCTTTGTAATAATAGTTTAACATTCGGGTTATTTTCCTTTCTGTCTTTCCCAGGCATGCATACGTTTTTACCTGGTTGGGATTACAGCATGCATGTAATTTTTATAGTCTGCTTTAAAAAAAAAAACCTAAACGCTATAACTTGAGCAATTAAATAAGAAAAACAATGAACAGACATAGGTTGATAACACTATTTAAGGAGCTCTACCAACATTTGGGGCGAAACATGCCAGAACTTCAAATAGAAACATAGCAAGAGGCATGAACAGGATTTCTCACAGAGGAAATAAAAATGCTTAATTAACTATGAAAGAGAATCCATCTCATTATTGAAAGTATTACAAATTAAAGTGAAGGATACCATTTCCCCTGGTCATATTAATAAAGATTTTTAAAAAGTAATCCTCTTATTTGTTAGACAGGATATATGTAAATTGATAAAAATATTCTAGAAGCCATATATTTGTTTACTGATTATATTTCCTCTCATGTGAATATTTTATATCCCTATCTCTCTTGGGTGGCCTTAATATTTTTTATTGAATTCTATTGAGCATAGACCCTTTTTTTTACCATCTGTTGCTTCCCTTATTTTTTTTAAAGTATCTAGGTGTCTAATATTTTTTTATACAGTTAGGTTTGTTAATCTGTTCCTTTGTGATTCCTTTATAACTCCTAGCTTAAGAAAATCAACCTCATGGAACAGGTCGTATAAATGTTAAATTCTAGGGCCGGCCGAGTGGCGCGATGGTTAAGAACTCGCTTGGGATGCCAGAGGGCTCCGGTTCGGATCCCACATATGAGGGCCAGTGATACTACCCTCCACAGCTAAGATGCTGAACAACAGCTCAACCTGGAGCTGGGCTGCCGTGAGTTGCTGGTGACGGCATAGGCTGCAGCCCCTGCTGCAGTGGGTTGCCATGGGCTACCGTGTGTAGCCAGCAGCCAGCGTGAGCGGCCAGCAGCTGCAGTGAG